TGTATACAAAACGTGCATATATACTCTAATAATACACAATTCATGCCCAAATGTCATTTGATCCCATTTATATAAAATAAAATTAAAATATAAACATAAAAACATGCCTGCTGATTACACAATCATACACAAAACAATGCAGCTTTTGTATTTAAAAAAGAATAATTTCAGAATTTGATCAATTACTAAAATCTAATAACAGTTTTATGACATGCATCGATTCTCATCATCAAAATAAAACTACCCTCCTCTGAAACAAAAATCCCCCTTAAACAGAAATGCTGGTGGCAAAAATTACCCCTCCCATAATTATATGACAACTATTTTGAAAAACGAGAAATATTTGATAGACCATCAAAGGGAAATGTTAAATTATATCAAAACTGATTGTTATATATTTATTTAATCTATATAAGGATTGTAAATACTTTATATGCGGTAGACGAAAATAAGCAATTTTAACTGTGGTCAGTCAACATAGTACAATACCAAAAAAGTGTACATAATAGTCCAAACCAGATAAAACCATTTCCAAAAATATACAGTTAGTATTCTCAAAAAAAAAAAATCCAAGATTTTTTGTTAGTTGACCATTTAATTACACCAAAGTTCAATGCCAATATTAGCAAAAGTTATTTACTGGCTAATATTGTCCCTCTTACACTATTTTAAAACTATTTTTAAACCACAGGTAAGTGACCGAAAGATTAATGTAATGCAAAGAATGGACAAGGAGCCTGGTTCCATTTTCTCTCTATTTTTTTCTGACAACACCTGGACAAAGGCCTCAGTTAAGGTCAATGCTGCCCAATAAAAGGATAATTCCCTTTGCAGACTAAGGTCACGGTGTCTGTTAGGAAAGCGAAGCTGGAGGCTAAATTATGGAGTGGCTAGTGAATATGATTGCATCAGGCGTAATACAGCCAGCGTGTGGCCAATTCTATGGCCACCCTAAGCACAAGTCCAGGTCAACTTAAGTCCCTTGTGATATCACACTTCAATTTTACGTGAGGTCAACCTACAATTGCATTTTGCTTTATACAAAAAAAAATCCATCACATTATAGGAATATGCATCTCAAATTAAAATTGAATTTTATCATTGATTCCTAATAATTTTGGCAAAATATGAGAAAATAGTAATATATGAAAAAGATTAATGCTTTCATTTGCTGAAGGTCTGATCAAACTTCTACTAGAATCTGATCATGTGACAAGCTTAAATATGGTCATGATGACATCACATCATGACCATATATAGGCACATCATGACTATATATAGGCATACAACAGTTTTTTGTCAAGTAAAATTTTATAGGGTGTACAGAGCTTTGGAAATAGGAAATCATTAAATATTAACTTTAATGGTACTGCATTTTGTTAAAATTTAACAGGTAATGTTAAGGGAAGAGTGGTTAACATTTTAGGGGTTCCTAGTGATTTTTGTCTAAGAATTTGGCGATTGTTTAGCAGGAAGGAAGCGCCTACATCCCAGGAAATGGTGAAGCTGAAATTGAGTGTTGTAGCCAGTGATAAGGGTCGTAAGGTAGTAATAAAGGTCACACTGTTCATTATGCATAATTGGCATTCAAATCTACACAACCAACAAATCATAATGCAGCGACGTTACAGTAATTAAAATGTTTTGAAAATAATTAAGAAAAATGAGAAACTGGAATGACCACACTAATGATGGTGTTTTGAATTACTTTTTATTTGGAGAAATTCAAATGTTGTAGATGATATATAGGAGATTAAAATATTTTTGTTTAATCCCTAATACTTCTGGAGCACTGATATACTAATTTGACATCATGAGACATCACTTGGATAACACTCCAATTAGTTTAGTCCGTAGGGGTAGAAATACGTGTCCAGCGAGCAACCAGGTTTAGTGATTTGATTTGAAATCACATTTTTATAGAATGTAGCATGCATAAAGGTATTCTGTCCATTCAACAGGAACTAAAAAAGCCCCTGAGGAAGTTACATTAAAGCAAGAGGAAGCTGGACATTATGAAGTATGAAAAGGGCTTTGAGAAATTCCATACACATACAGTACCACTGGTAATATGGCAAATACTTCCTAGATACAAACATGTGCACATTTGTACACAGGAGGTAACTTAAATCAATAATTTCATATTATTTGAAATATTTTTTTTTAAATTATAAATATATAGGATAGATACCGTAAGTTAATTTGGTTTTGAAGTACTATAAAACTGACCTTTAAATCTAACAGAATAATTCCTAAAATTACATAATATACACATAATCAGTAAATATGTATGTATATATGAGTATATATATATATATACATATCACATATTAAATGTGGTATGAAGAAACATCCCCATGTATTAAACAGTGATACAACTCCATACAGGTTTATGTGATTTTGGTGACAGATGTCACCAAGATGTTACCGAGGTAAAAATTTTATCGTAGATAATTGAGGTAGATAAGTTGAAATTACATTCAAAACATTATATTCTCTATGTTAGACTCATTTAAGAACATTTCTCGTTTTCCAAAATTGTTTCATAAATGGTAGGACATGACAAGTGTCAAACACTACCCTAAACTTCAATATACATACATACGCATATATAAATATACTGCATGTATATATATATATATACATATAGATATATACATTCATTATATAATATGTATATATTCATATATAATATGTATATATGTTTTTTTAGGTACTTTCAATACCTGTTCTAGTTCACTTCTAAATATATCACTTAAGTTGCGATTTCAGAAAGGCACAAAAATCAGCTGATCAAAATGTAAATTAGAGAAAATAAAAACAAACTTATCAAGATTGTAACCAATCAAAATATGTTAATCTTCTGGATTTGATTGATTACACAAATAAAAAATATCTTTATAAATAGAATGGCTAAATATTATGACTTTCAGGGAAAAAAGTTAATTGTTTTTAATCAATTGCAATTCAAGTCCAGTTACCAAGGACCCTGACCGATCATCCTTACAGGTTCAATTAAATTTATATTAAATAATGCATCAGTTTATATTATATTTCATCTTAACTCTGTCATTATATCATATTTGTATCCTTGTAACAGAAATTCAATTGCTTGTTCTACATTTCAGAAATGAGAAAAATTTGAGTTGCACAATTTTAAGATCATAAAATCAACTAAAAATAGGAAAGTCTAAAGGTATAAAATTTCGAAATTAAAAACCATTCTTTGTAGGTTAAACCATATCTCTAGATTTAGTAAATATAACATTTAAAAAAAGATTTTTTTTTTTGTGCCACACGAAGTTATCTGGTGTGCTGACTTCTTGTTATATGACAAGTGAATTCGATTTTGTCACGACATACATACTGACAAATGCTACACTGGAAAGGATGTTCGGTGCCGTGGCAACTCATGTGTAGACTAAAAATGACCTGTTCAGGGAACATGGTACCACAATACGGGCAGGTCTGTATGTTACCCTTAGAAGCAAGATTCTCATCGGTATCGTTATCTCCTGGAATCGTTTGAGTCTCAACGTTTCTCTTCCTCATCTGATTCGCATGAGGGCCTTTCTCGTGGTGTAAACGGTAATTGTAGTGTGACTCGTCGGAGCCTAGATGGTAGTCCGAGGCTTTAGCGAGGGAATACGATGAGGTATTAGTTATGTCTGAGGCAGCTTGATTCAAAGAATTCTCTGTATGATTAATATTTCCTGAGGTAGAAGTAATAAATGCATTTCCTGATAATATACGGGATTTCATAGGGCGTGACGATAAGTAAGGGACATCCCCTTCGGATCTCCCTGTTAGGCCTTCCTCGTACGCTTTCCTAGCAAGCGCTGCTTCTCGCTCACGATTGATCTCCATAGTGTACCGTTTCCCAAAAGGAACCGGAAGTGGTGTTGGTTTACGTTTGCGTTTCTTTGCACCAAATGGCTTCTCTAACATTTCCTCGTAGGTTTTTTGTTGGAGTTGCAACGGAGTAATGACGGAGATTTCATTAACAGTTGAAGGTGACGTGGCTGAAGTAGTATTGGGTGGAATGTTATCAGATGGAGACATAATGGGAGAGGTAATTCCACCGGGGCTACTTGTTAGTGACTGGACATCAGAGACTACAGGTCCGCTATTATCGCTGGCGGCAGAACTCTCTTCCGCACTCAATTGTGCTGAATTTGAAAAGTCTATAGCGACAGCCTGCTCGTTAAGACCAGTACCATTGTTATTTCCTGAGGTAGATTCACTGTGCGAGGCACTGCCTCCAATTGTTCGGCTTGCATGATGAGGCAAGTAGCCATCCGCTGAACCCGGTGATGTACGAGAACCCTCATCAGCCATCGGTAAATCCTGAGTATAAGAGTTTGAAGTTGAGTTTGGGGTCGCACCGCTGTTTGGCAGGGGTACGGAAGATGAACCTGAGTGATTAAATGTATTATGGACCATATGGTGTTGGGCAGTAGAGTCAATGGCTGCTTGCTGGTATTTATTATCGATAATGGGCGAGACGTTACCCATCCGATTTATACCGACAGAGTTTGTCAAAACTGTACCAGGAAACACAGTTGTAAGAGATGGATTATACATACTGTTTATGTCCATATTCTTTGTCGGACTAGTCATCTTGGTGGTGCTATTTTCGCGGTTAATTTCATCTTGTGTTAGAAATGACCCAAAATCAACATTGTACATCGCTTCTGGGTGCTTCTTTTTACGATGGGTTACCAAGTTACACTTATATGGTGTTTGGTACAAACATCGATCGCATTTAAACATTTTAGCCGTACCCGTATGAACAATCAAATGGCGCATCAAACTACTACGAAATGAGCTACTAAATCCACAAACCAAACATTTGTACGGTTTGTTCCCGGAATGCACGTTCATATGTTCGTTAAGGTGCGTTTTAGTCGGAGCAATGTATGTACACAGCTTACATTGATAAACCGATGGCTGTCTATCACCACGTGCTACGCCATCCTGATCAACGCCCTCCAACATACTCTGCATGTTTTCCTGAGCTATCAAAGAATCATTGCCATTTGTGCTACTATGATCGTCCATTTCCTCCTCGGACGGCGAATCCGGCCCCTTCTGTATATTTTCCCTGTGAAGCTGCATATGTTGCAATAGAGCATTTTGATAGGCACTGGCAAACCCACATTCTTCACACTTAAATGGCTTACGTCCCATATGGACATTCCTGTGTTCCTCTAAGATTTCGGCAGAAGGGGCAATAAAGGTACACAACTTGCACTGAAAAGCATCTCCATTGTCCGACGGTGAAGGCGGCAACTCCTGTCCCATGTTATTTTCCTCTTCGGCGTGTGCATCGCCGTTCACCTTCACAAGATCTGGTTCCTCTTTTAGCTTTGTGTTGCTGGTGTCCCCGTGCAATGGGGATTCATCATCATTAAGGGGCTGTACTGTACTAGGCATACTTTGGTCCTCCATACAGGGGTGCCACAAGGCTCTTTGCTTTGCATGAGGTAGATTAACTGCAGGAGGGAGATAACGTATGGTATCAACCTCTCTGACTCCAACATGAGCCTAAAACGAAAAAGAGCAAATGATAATTACTAACGATATAAATTTGTAATAAAAAAAATAGAAATATAACCGGAGTATAGGACTTCAAGAGGTCCGACTCTCGGAGGCTTTGTTGTAACGAAATCCTAATTCAAAATGTACTACCACGAAATAAAGGGCATCCTTCAAAAGGCAAGTTTCGAATTCTAATACAGCGCCCCCTACCACATGGCAGTACTTTTTTTAAATGTTTCATTCTGTGCATACAGCATCAAGGAAGTCGGATCTCTTCCAATTCTATGCTCTTTGATATAACACTGAATTGTGAAATATTAAAGAATGACAAGAATTATTAATTAGTGGAAAAATTTTTCTCATACTGATTTTAAATTGACAGCCAATAACAAACTTAAAATATACAAAGAGTAGCAATTCAAGTGTAATTTTCAAGGTTTTTTTAAATCATTTTGAAGAAAATATAAAACGGTCGTACAACTTCCATCCCCACAAAAGAATGTTGTCAATGTTAGATCGTCATTCTGTCATCTTCATTAGTTGACACCCACCACCAGCACACATTTTAGAGTCTCATAAAAGTGCTGTAAAACATACATTTTCTTGTACGTGTACTGTATCACACAACATTCAAATTAACAAAATATTAAATTCTAAAACATTAAATAATATGTCTTTTTTTTTTTTACTTCAAATCATAAAAATCATTCAGGGGTAAAAAATGAGTCAAAGTCAATGATGACATCTAGATTGGCTGAGCAAGTCACTCTTACTTTTTTTTTTTTTTATATTGCCTGGCACACTACTGTATTGAAATTTCAAAACATAACACCCTCCAAATTATTTTTTTAAATCATTAAAAAACCATACATTTTTGTTTTGTATGAACATCCTTGAGGAGTGTTGATTCATTGTTTGTAGTTCTTACAGTACTGTACACCATAAAAATGATGCTACAATAAAAACATGTTTTTTTGTAGTTTGGAATTTAAACAAACTCATCAAAGTTAGTCATCCATCTCAAACACTGACGTGAGAATGGTTTACCGTACCTCATGATAAAGAACTTCTAACAATCAAATCAGTTGAGTATTGTATTCATGCAGTATTCTAACTTTGAATGAAAATGCTAAATGGGAAGGCTGAATCAGTTTTATAATGCCTCTAAGGTACATAATATATGAAACATATTTACTAATATTTTTAGAAAAGTGCTGTAATTTCGTGGCTGCACCAGATAAATGGTTACAAGGAATGTTAGTTGATGGCCTATGATTATTTTGGGCAGTTTGTATATTTATTTATTATGTTTGCTCTATTTTGACCCCTTCATGCTAAGTCAATAAGATAAGCTGACATTCAAGGTGCTTAATTGACTTAAATAATTCCTAAAAATCATCTTAAAAAACAAAGTACCCTTTAAATCTGGTGATAGTGCAGTATACAATATGTCACCAAGTTTTAATTTATAATTGTTTCAAGATTTCGAAGAAAAAATTACAATATCCAATCAGTCAAGCAACAACAGAAATTGAAGGCAAACATGTAATAAAAAAAAAGGGTAACCATTAGATATCATTAATTTTTAAAAATGTCAACTAAAATTGTACTTTCTTTTAGGATAGTTGTTAAATGTTTACTATATTTTAACAAGATAACAAAATACACATTATTTCAGCAAATCTGGTAAGCATAACATGTAGCACAGTATTGAATTTATTTAAATTAAGTTTTCCGATTGAACTTTTGAGAAGGAAAACAATGACTATGAATACAGAATGTACTTGGAAACACTGAATTGAGGCACCTTCGGGATTACAGTATATTTAACTGGATGTGTTGTTTTCCACAATCGTTCCCATAAAAACATGTAAAATGAGAGTGTTACCATTTGGCACAGTTTTCTAACTATAATTTCTGATAGTGAGAATCGGTTAATTTGGATCTTCAAATTGTTCAAGGGAATAGAATTTGTTAATTTTAAATGCTAAGAATATCTTCATTCAAATTACTGTAGTTTGTTTCTAAAATTGATACCATAACAGGTGTGCATTTAAGAATGGCCAAATCATTATGTAGGTCATCTGAGTAGATAATTGTAGGCAATGCATAAGCATGAAGATTTTTTTTTTTTGAATTGCAAATGCAGTAGTCTATAGTAATGAGATGTAAAACCAGCTGCCTATGTATATAATTATAATACAATACTCAATGGAATAATCTCATTGAAATCATTCAATACTCTTATGTTCTTGTCATATGATGGAAGAAAAAAACAAAAACAACTGTATTTACAAGTAATGTAATGCTACCTAATTTTATTTTCAATGATATTTCTCTATTTCGTTGGTGTGAAATACACCAAATACAGTAACTTTGAATAATACTGTAACAGTTCGATTCTCATCTAATATAATGAATGCATACTCAAATAATAAAATGGAGTCTCAATGAGAATAACTTTAAATAATAATGAAATGGTTTGATTCATGTACCATAATGAATGTGTATTCAAGTTTAATAGAAAGGATTTGTTTCTGTAGCTGAATTGCAGTAAATTATGTTTCCTTCAGGCATGATCCCACCTTTAAGAATCACAATGGGGCCTAGGTATTGGGGGACAATGTACAAGGGCAAAGGTATGTGTAGATTGTTATTCTGGTTTTAATGCATTTTCAACATCAATACGTAGCTCATTCATCCATTCATTATCATTACTTTAGTCGCCATTTTAAAAAGTCAAATGATTATACCACTAATATCCAATTCAATTTAACCAAACTTTCTTTTTTTTTTTCTCTCTTGTATATATTTTGAACTCATTTGTTTTGTTCCACTACATTGCCCAACCATTTGACAATGGAAACAATGTTGATTGTACTGTTGAAATTCATAAAATGTTCAAAGAAAAGTGGTTGTACTTTATAGTTGTCAATTACATGTAAATGTGATTTACTCCCGTTTTGTCTGCTGCCCACCTTCAAATTAGATTGGTTTTGAGTAACCAAAAAAAAAAAAAAAAAGTAAAAAAAAAAAAAAAAAAAAAAAAAAAAAATCCTCACTACATTTCTTAGTGGGCTATTCTAATAACCTGTGTGATGTGGCCCTAATATTCTTTTTACAAATTTCTTCTAGCAAAAATGTTATTTTTGTGAATTTCTTTTTGGTGTGAGTAAAGATAAGAGAACACAGCCTGGCTCTTTTCAAACATCTGAATTCATTTTATCAATCCTTATTTATAATAATGTGTAAACCCCAAAATCAACAGATGAATGCCCCCACTTTCCTGTCTACAATACCGAACCTTGACTCACTTCCTATCTCTATTGCAATTATAAATTCACTGGCATTAACATCAGATTTACATTATAATGGATATGAATGGTAGTGTTTTCATTGTATCCATATAATAATTCTATTATGATCGTAAACTATATATTTCTATTGTTTACTTTTTAATGTATTTATTTTCCATCCATTACATGGATGAAACAACAATATGGTAATTTCATATCATTTTCAGTGACATGGATAAAACTATACTTTTGCATGGATACAAAATATCAATTCAAAGGGCAGTATTCTTATATATTTTCCATTAACATGGATTAATCTACCTGTATATACAGTAGTATAATTATAAAATTAAACTTGTATACTATGTTTTTCTATTGCATACCCTTTCAATATTTACTAGATACACTACAGTATATATCATTTCTATTACATGGATTAGTACTATACTCAATAAACTACATCTTTATTGTTTATATTTTAATATCACTACCATATCTCTATATTAGTGTAAAACACCACACTGCACAACCTACTATCTCACAGAGATTCATGACTTTATCCCAGGTGTTTTGTTATTAAATGCCAAAAATAAGGTAGATAAAGAGGAGAAATAAAAATAACAAGGTGGCCTAAAAGATGAGAAATGGGAGTGGGTGGGGGTGTCAATATAGACCTACTTATTTTTAAACACCATTGAAAATAATTTCAATTAATTATTTTATTACATATATTTTATTTTGATAATTGTTAATAGAATATCACATGAAAAATAATGTGATTCTATAACCATAGTATTATATGGTAAAACAAATTAAACAAATAAAAAGTATGCAACAAAAGTTTAATAAATATAACAGTAATATAAATATGAAGTATAACTCATAGCATAATGTATATAAAATATATATATAAGCTGAAGCTCACAAGGGTCAGCTATATAGAGCACTCATTATTAATATATATAGTGAGTATTAATGGGGTGAGTGTAATAAAAGAAACAATAAACTGGTGCTCAATTATGAGGCCTTACCTACACTGAATGAACATACACCAACTGCCAAGCCAATTAAATATGTCCTATTTCCACTGTGTACTACTACAACTGTACTTGTCCTGAGTGATTGGAATGGCATAACTACAGGCTAACTTCAGTCACATACCCAGCATTTGGCCTTTTGTTATGCATATAGCCAGAAGATTTCATGCTTGACTTGAGAAATGAATGTACTGTAGAGTACAGTAGACAAAGTGCTCACTGCACTGCAAACTGGTGACCTAAATGTCCTACACTTTGATGATGTTAAGCATCAGGCTTGGCCAAGGTCAGCTTGGTACAACCAGTGACCTCAACTAAGCCTGCTGGCCATGCGTGGCATACAGTTCAACATGCATGACGTACTGTGCTGTAGTTCATGATGCTAATCGCCCAAACGACTACATCAGAACGAGCAATCAGTAAATCAAGCGTGCATAATCCTCTGTAGTTCTCTCATGTAATGATTCACATAGCCTTAAGGCCACCTCCAGGTAAAGTTTGTTTCTTGATAGAATATAAAACCTCCCTACACTTACCATGGTGATCATCTTACCATAACACATTTTTCCAGCAGTAAAACTGACAAGGGAAGTCTTGGAAGCTTAAATTTATCTAAATGTTAAAATAAGTAGAATCTAATGGGTTTATACATATATTGTCTTTTCCAAAGTAAAACCACATGAGCCTAGCAGCATCTATGTTGACGCAGTTAATAGAATTATTATTACAGTATCAAACAACTCTGTATTCTCAAATCTAAAAATCAGATCTGGGGAAAAAATCCAGGGTGTTTTTAAATAAAAATTCTTAATTTTTTTTTCTCTATAAAATCAATTCAAATAAAAAACTATTTGTCCATTGCCTTTAAGTAAAATATGAAAATTCTTTTTCCACTAGCAAAAAACATGAAACAATTATTTATATATTTAGCCCCATCATTGAATAATTGGTAAGTTTCCAAAGATATTTTTGTTATTGATACCTACTGTAGATGGCCAGAATTAAAATTCTCATCAATCATGCTTTCATATTCAAAACAGTTTCTTAAATTCCATCTTGAAAACATGTTAAAAATATCATTTAATGTCGTGGGAAATGGAACTACCATTGGTGTTATCATTTTAATTTCATATAAACACCATGGATAAGCAAGACTAGATTATAATAATAGTCAGTGCTATTTACTGTACTGTTCAAAGGCTTTTCATATTTTTTTATACATTTTTTACTAAAGTTCAAGGTACTTGTGTCATTTTATTCCATGGTGCCTGCATGTATTAGATTACATTAAAACAATAAACATTTGGTGATAGACAGTCGAAGACAATCTCCAACAATTAAATTTAATTTATTTTCCTAATTGGTTTATTGTTTGATGTTAATAAACATTACATACTATCTGAATTTATACTAAAAAAAAAAATTAAGCATGCTTCCTTACAAAATCAACATGGTTTGTTACAGTTCAAAGTTTAACAATGGACTGTTGGAAAATATTACATAAAGCATGTTGGGAATGTACAGTACAACATACAGGAATGTACCAGTAAGAATCTTTTCTATTTCAATTATGTCCATACACATGGATTAAACTATCATTAAAGACCTAGCTGCATATTGGGGGGAAAATATTTCTAAATATTCATGAATATTAATAATAATTTACATAGCAATTTATCATTGGAATTACACCAAGGATAAGTCACAAAGTCTGATGGTTTTTTTTTCTAATAATAATAATAATGGTCGACTTATAGAGCGCATATCATAGAGACCTTTATGTGCTTAATATAAATAAGAATACAAATATAATGATACTTAACTAATCCTAATCCTTAAACTAAGCATGGTTTGGCCGTTGGCTCCGAGGAGTTCATCCGCCCTTTGTGAATTGGGCAATACACAGAGAAACAATCCCCTACACCTTTCCGAAGAGTGAACTATGTTCTTTAACGTGCACATGGGTCACATTGCACACAGGACCAATAGCTTAAATGTCTTTTCTTGAAAAACAGTGTGCTATCGTAATATGTAATTCAGCACTCCAGCAGGAACACAACCAAACCAGTGTCCAAACCTACAGTACTCTATGGTTTAGGGCACACAAAATGGCTAGCACCAGTTCTAGCCGACTGAGCTAAATGTATTATTTTTATCATTAATTTCCCATAACAAAACCTTCATTTCACTGGACTTTACAGTAATTTAAAAAATTGATCAAAGTTAAGTTCAAAGCAGGTGTAGAGTTTTGCGTAGGAAGAACAAATTAGAAAACGCTGAGTGTTTGTCAGGGGTTCTGATTATGTTTGTGTATGAGTATTTAATTGTAATGACAAAGCCAGAGCGAAACATGCTTCACCGATTGTAAATAGTCACCCATCTTTAGAAATAATACAACCACCAGAGGGCCACATTCAACAAAATTAAAACTCTGTTGCTACACCAAGAGATTCACCTCCAAATTTATATTAAATAATTACTGTTCCGTTTACTTGTTACATAAAATTTCTAAGCATTTTTAATTGATAGCCTTGAAAACAACCTTGCAAAATATTAGGATTCATTTTTCTAATGAGAATTGTTGTGGTCATGTTCCGTATGGCTCCAGTTAATTTGGAAATTCAATTACAACTGAAATTTTAATTCATGAAATTGTAATATGGACAATCAAGAAACATATTAATTAACACAAGGTATAAATATTGAATAGGTAAGAAGAATGAAAATTTTTTACATGAAATGAATACTAATCATTGTGGACATACATGACCACCATATTAAATTAATGCTATCTTGACAATGTAAATTAGTACCAGCATAATTTCTTAAATTATATCCTTGTTTTAAAGATTGTATTTTCAAAATTATACCGTATTTATTATATATAACATTTATGATAGTCAACTTTTTGGATGAAAAAGTACAGTACAAGAAAATGAACATTTCTAGTATTAAAAATAGGAAGAAGTTAAAATAATATGTTGTTAAAATATTTACAAAATATGTAGTTTTGCATACATTCCTATATTCTTGAAGCCATCCTGTAAGTCATTCTGTTAATAACACACTGACCCACATTCAGCAATAATCAATAATTATTCTAACATTCAAAGCTGACTAAACACAGAGGATAGTTTACACATTAAAACAATAATAGCTTAACTATTTAATATGAATTATATTTTTTAATTATACTTAAATTTGAATAAACACTATGAAATTTACACATAAAAAAATAATAACTCTAGCAATTAATAACCAATGCATTATGATGTAAAAAATGTGGCATCCTATAATTAAGCTTCAGTATATATTCAGAATTACATAAAATGGTACTGTATATACCCGTGTATAAAACAACCCCTAAATTTAAAAAAAATTTTCTTACGATATTTGTATGTCGGGAGTATAAGGTGACCCGCTGTTTTTTTCTGCTTTTTATGGTCTTGATTGGCTAAAAATGGAGGCAAATGCAAAGCTAATCTTCCAAATAATACCATTTTATGAGTTTTTCATTGTTCATAAAAATCTTATTTCCCCGTATTTAAAATTGCGTTCATTCATACTAACATTTAGTGGTTTCATTGCAGTAGTAAAATCGCGTGTTATGGACGATCCGCACATACGACAAACATGATTAAAAAAATCTAAAATTTGTATGTTGTGCTTATAAGACGACGCCATGTTTTTTTTTATCGTAGTTTGTTATTTTAAGCCTTGTCTTTTACTTTAGATGGCTCAATTCTTATACCATTACACTATTTTTTGGTGGTAAGTATAAAGCTATCCAATTTTTCTTTGATAAAAAGGCTGTCTTATGCCCATATACGGTCATGATGCGCCTATATACGGTCATGATGCGCCTATATACGGTCATGATGCGATGTCATCATAACCTACTTTATATTAGGCATGCCTCATCAGATCAGAAAGATTTTTTTTAATCAATTTCAAACTTGCTCATTTTGAAATAACATAAAAATTATCAAACTAAGCATAGAAATTAGTGAATTAAAAAAATGTTTTGAATTTTATACCGCATATGATAAAAATTATAGAAATACTTCCAGTGATAAAAATGTGGGCAAACATTAATACACTAATTTCTAATTTCTCAATTTGATCATTTTTATGTTGATTATCTTTAACTACCCAACATTGACTTCCAAAACATCTGCGGTAACTGCAAATTAATTATTTAATTACTGTAATCATTATCATAACTATGAATATTTCTTGGCAATTTATAGTTTATATTTCTTAAAGAGATTTAAATCAAAATATCAAATTTAATAAACTATAAATTCAATAGGACTTGCAGATGAACCCTTTGAATATTCAAAATCAATTTAATTAAAATTTGATTACTGTATACACAAGGAATTGTACATATAAAATGAGTGTGGAGTGTTTCACATACATGGTTGTGTATGTCACCCATGTCCTTGGAATTTAAGCATTTAGATTATTAATAATTATAAACAAGAAATCTGGAGGAGGAAATTATAATTTGAGTACTTGTATCACACACTTAATTATAAAATATTTGATCCACCTACAAATCCATTATCAGTTAAAAATTATGGAATAATTAAAGAGGTTTCTATTCATCAGAAAATGACCTAAAATTAGTTCCAACCCCCATACACATGTACACAATTTAAATAGCAATAAAAAGCATGTCATCGGTTGAGTATTAATTAATGACCCAAGCACATGAATACACGCCATGACGACACGCGCATACATGTAAACGATTAAAATAACTAGGCCAATGCTATCTACTCTACTTCCGGATATATCATGAGCAAAAAAAAAAAAACAGCAGAAGTACAGGTTTGTGAGTCCTTGATAATCCATTATAATGAGGGTTTAATAACTAAGGAGAGAGACCTTGTACTACGCAGTAATAATAGCTGTGCTCTACTGTATTAGTACTTTAGTTAACATTTACCTTTATTTCAATTCCGCTGATAAAAAAAACAAAAAAAACAGTAATAATAGTGCACTAAGGTACTTTAGTATAGTAGGATGTGTTAATATTTACCTTAATTTCATTTCCGTTGATATTAAAAAATTTAAAAAACACGATCACAAGGAAAATATATATTTAGTAAATAAAATAATATTAATACAACAATAGTAACTTAACAACAAATAATTTTTGATTACCAATTCCAGTTAACGGCTTGCTGAGCCAGACAGGGCCAGGGTTTTGCCGAACCCCCTTTTCGAGTGAACTCCTTCTGATAAATTAAACTACCCCCTAAACGATCAAAACAGTAATGAAATTCGTAATTTACATGCTAGGATTAAAGGGGCTACTGACCTAATAGCTTTGGATTCTACTAGGGCACAAAAGTACCCTGGCACCTAGGTATCCCTTCACCTTTGGCTCTCAAAGGAAACTGCCTAATAAGGAATCCTGATGACGGGTCTGGAGGAAATGACAAAATCAGATTTTTCATGTATACCACGCAGTACAAGATATATTTTATTCACTAACAACACTCAACTACAGGAAGGGAAGTTCATTCGATGTAAGCATCACCTATGCCACCTATTAAACTAACATTTACCTCAATCTCAACTGCTTTCCTTGTGAGTGGAATACATTGTTTTTGGGAATAGACGGAAGTAATATATAAAATAAAGAATGAAAGGAAGTTTACACAATCTGAACTTTTTATGTAAGGATGTTATCTAAAGCCAATGAGGTAGCTTTGCATTTCTACATTATGTGCTTTGAATGTATATTTTTAGTTACTTAGTTGATGTTATTTTTAAAGACAATTTTTTAATACCATGTTTCAATAAGACCAAATGTGTTTTATACCTTGAAAGTTCATAAGAGAAAAGAAAAAAAAGTAAATACAATTTTATTTTTATTTAAATCATTTTTCATAGGATTGCAACATAAGGGTATATATATTTCCTTAGGATTTTTATAGTGTTAAAAAAGGGTACATCCCCAATGAAAGATTCAGAAAAGGTATGAGAAACATGATTTTTTTTTAAAATTTGGAATAATGGTAACCTACAAATTTAATGTTGTGATAGCTTACAGTTTCTTGAACTGATTAAAGGGGCTACTGACCTAATAGCTTTGGATTCTACTAGGGCACAAAGGCACCCTGGTACCTAGGTATCCCTTCACCTTTGGCTCTCAAAGGAAACTGCCTAATAAGGAATCCTGATGACGGGTCTGGAGGAAATGACAAAATCAGATTTTTCATGTATACCACGCAGTACAAGATATATTTTATTCACTAACAACACTCAACTACAGGAAGGGAAGTTCATTCGATGTAAGCATCACCTATGCCACCTATTAAACTAACATTTACCTCAATCTCAACTGCTTTCCTTGTGAGTGGAATACATTGTTTTTGGGAATAGACGGAAGTAATATATAAAATAAAGAATGAAAGGAAGTTTACACAATCTGAACTTTTTATGTAAGGATGTTATCTAAAGCCAATGAGGTAGCTTTGCATTTCTACATTATGTGCTTTGAATGTATATTTTTAGTTACTTAGTTGGTATGTTATTTTTAAAGACAATTTTTTAATACCATGTTTCAATAAGACCAAATGTGTTTTATACCTTGAAAGTTTATAAGAGAAAAGAAAAAAAAGTAAATACAATTTCATTTTTATTTAAAATCATTTTTCATAGGATTGCAACATAAGGGTATATATATTTCCTTAGGATTTTTATAGTGTTAAAAAAGGGTACATCCCCAATGAAAGATTCAGAAAAGGTATGAGAAACATGATTTTTTTTTTAAATTTGGAATAATGGTAACCTACAAATTTAATGTTGTGATAGCTTACAGTTTCTTGAACTATCTACTAACCATAAACAAAGTAATTAATGCCTAGTTATGTTTGGCTACAAAAGAATTTTAATTAAGGTTATTATAAGATGTATTCTCATTAGGGCTTGTAGTAATGAAAGCGATTTACGTTCACACACACACATAATTGGATGTTTTCTACCAACTTTGTTGGCAAGCACATTAACTTAGACTTGTGCTGTGGATCAATCACCTACCAATGGGGGAGGGGGTATATTCAGAGGTGAGAGAGTGCTAATGGGAAGGCAGGGTGTGATGTGAAAGTCAGTAAAACAAGGTAGGAAAGGGGGTTATATGAGGAGCATTAATTGCTCAGTAAATATTCAGTTGTAGAATACCTGCGGAACATGAATTTTATCTGGAGGGGGAGGGGGAAGAGTGGTTACATCCCAATTTTTCCCTTTAGATCACCACCCCCATTAAATGAGTACAACTTGAATAAATAACCTAATTAATTATCATAATTAAATAATTAATGCTTTATTTTGTATGTACAAAAGACAAATAGTTTTTTGTTAACGCTGCTATAGGAAACCTGATCAATAAATACAATTTTGTTTCAGTAAACTAAGTAAAAACTTTGTTTTAATTTTCCAGTTTCCACACTCAACACCCAGAAGCCAGCTACTTATAGAATGGAAAGTAAAATATAACAAGTATAGATATAAGAACAGTGGGTGCACTTCTAGGCACTCAACCGTGTGCTCGGGGTTCGAATCCCACACTGGACATTTGCTTGTGTCATTGGCACACTATCTAATATCCTGTGTTACAAGTAAACAGAAAAATGTTTTGCTCATTGACCTAGCGACATGAGTCGAATAATGAAATCATTCAAGATGATGACATTTTTGTCTTTTAAACACCTGCTCAGGCAATTATGCTAATGAGACCATGTAGTGAAAGTGGACTGAATGTTGTTTGTTGTTCAGTAGCTGATAATGGCATGTTTCTTGGTAAATGACTCATGTACAGCAACCATAAAATAAGTCAATGACCTTATTTAAGTTTATAAGAAAATTTGATAAATTTAATAGACTAAATATTAATCATAATAACCATATGATAGCTTTATATAGCCCATAATTCACAATATAAAATATAAGTAATTAAGATAATTCTGTAATATAATATTAATTACATAGTTATCTAAGTTAGTTTAAGAGAATATTTAGTTAGTATTTAGCTCATAAATTTATACATTTTTACTATGATGCTCATTGGCAAATTCAGTGAAAGTAGTAAGCAAAGAATTAATATAAATGAAGAAGCTTGGGGTATGGAGGTGGTGGTGGTACTATGCATCCCCTTCAATCCCAGGGTCCTAGATTCAAAACCTATGAAACAACAGATTTTTTTTTTTCTCACGACTAAAAACTACTCTATTCCTAAAGCTCATACGGGCGTAGTTCCTCCAAATGCACTTTCTGTTGGGAAGTGAAAGTAATGATAACAGAAAAAAAACACAATCACTTACACTGGCTATTCCACATTCACTATGATTAAGCAAGTGCTGTCGGCTGGTATTAATGTATTGTTCTAAAGCATTGTAAGGGAATGTACAGTAACTTCCTGCAAGATCAATTGGGAGTACTTCCAGTATACCACGTTTGTGGTAGATAAACATCCAGAACATCCTGGTACCCAAGGTAAACTTTACCATGAAAGACCTGGTCTGTATCCTCTGTATGCTAAATACTGTACAATCATCTAAGAATAACCTTCTGATAAATCCATAGATTATTAATTTCAGACTCAATGTCTGTTTGAAGCCAATAAACATGAACAATAATACTGCAGATTGCATGTACATTAGGCCAAAAAGAAACTATGCTTTGAACAAACCTGATTGAATCAAAATTAGGCTAGCAATTTTTTGCAGAAAAAAAAAATCATTTTTGCTGTTACCAAAAAGACTACTGTAAATACTTCACAATTCAAAACTTTAAAAAATAAATTACATACTTTTATAATACATTTGATACAGACAGGTTAGTAAAATTCAGATTTTACTAATTTGAATTTCTTCTCTCTGTACATGCATTTATATTTAATTACAGTAAATGTATAAGTAAGTATTTTTTTTCCTATTATACAGAATAATTTAAAGGTTAAAAAAAACAATTTGAAAAGGTTATATTATTGTCTCTTTCCACCCAAGGGGTCATGGTAGGAGCATCTTCGTCACAGCCCAGGTTAATGCAAATTCTACCACACACAAGATCAAGTCAATATCTATTTGTATCATCATGTCATCTGATGGACCTGGCAGCATCTAGCAAGTGTGTGGACACATAAAATGAAGACCTAAGACAACGGATAGGATACTCAGTGCAGTACAACACACTGCAGGCAGATTTGGAATACCTAACTCCCTAAGAAGAACAGTAGGTTGCACATTTTGTATGTTTGCTAACATGGGTCTAATGATCAGGGGGTAAATAACACTGGAAACTGCACAGACACATAGTCTTCTGATTAATAAAGGAATATAGAACCCATACCTATTACAAAATCAATTTCCTGGACAAAAAGGATTAGCAGAAAAAAAAAATCTCATGGTGAACTAATTAATTATAATTTATTGTGTTCCAAGTATAGTAGGTCTATAAATAATATCATAATATACAAATCAATACCTCTTGAATACCTGTAGTACTGTACCCCATCTATCTCATCTCTTAATCTGTCGACATTTGAAAAAAAAATTTTAAAAAGGTCTTGGAAAAAAACGGTATTGAATTTACCTATCCTCAACATGTTACCGATTTGACAACCAATCTGAACAGTCATTGTGTTCCAAATACAGTAGGTGTAGAAATAATTACTATAAAATAATAAAAATTTATACCTTGGAAATTATGCCAGATCCATCTATTTTCTAATAAATTTGATGACATTTTCGGGAAAAAAAATGTTCCACTGTCTTAATATACTGATTCTTCTTGATACCTTACTGAGTTTACAGCTAATACAACTTATCAGAAAATTTATAATAATCCTAATATTACTTATATATCCAAATATAATGTCTTTCTTTAATTTTTTTTTTCCTTGCACTTACCATTTTTCCTGTGTTTCTCTAACTCCCACTAACCACAAAAAAATGTAAAATGAATTTGCAGATTGGTCTTTACCTCAAAGACCACATTCCCATGAACCTTTTTTGGCCAGACTTGAAATTGAGCGCTATTCATTATTGGTAGTTACTGTGCTTGTGGCGACATTAACATTGCTTCACAAATAATACAGAGGTAACATATGAATACAGCACTTTTGGCTCCATGCCAAGAGCATACGCAGTTTGAACATTGCGAAATATGTTAACTTTGCGACACTCATGTTATTGGCAAGTGGATATTGGCTAATGTATCATTTATCGTATTCATTATGTTCACTAAGGGTTAAAATGAAGGCAATGTGATACATCGATATAAACATTATCGTTATACCATCTGTGCTAAACTAAATAAATCTAAAAACTTCATGCTCAAAATTGCTTACTTCTGAAATTTAAGCAACTTGTTTCAATTGAACTTAAAAAATGTATTGACAAATACAAAATGACAAACAAAATTCATAATATATAATTTTTAAATTACATACAAATTAAATTTTTATGTTTACATACAAATTATTAGCTTGAGCATAGAAATTGGTGAATTTAAAAAGTGTGTTACCCCGATTTTTATACTGATGATGATAATAAACATAACTAGAAATGTTATATGCTGCACATCAAAAGCACAGCCTCCCTACATGATTTTTAAAACACTTCCAGTGACTGGACATGTTTCTATCATTTTCTCGGTAGAATTATGGGTAAACATTTTTTATATACTAATTACTATGTTCAAGTTGATAATTTTTATGTTCAAAATGAGCAATATAATTTCAAAAATGATCTTTTTTTGTATATTGCATGGGACAATTTACAGTACATCTTTAAGACAAGAAAATATTTACTTCACTAATTACAAAAGCATAATTAACATCATTCTGATATTCTTAACATGGAACCTTAAATAAATTTAAGGACTTTTGTAAAAAAAAATCTGAAAATTGCAATAAACTTTTTTATTCTACGACTATGTAATTGTTGAAATGTTCATCCATTTTTTCATCATTTTTAATAGAGTTTAAATAAAACATCTTATACTTTATTCTTTCCTAAATCCTTCCAACCCCATTTACGAGTTTGTTTGGAAGTCAACATTGTGCCTCTTTCATAATACGTGTATATAACTGTTTTAAATCAATTGCTTTTAAGGGTTTACAAAGACAGTACATCTTTAAAACATATAAATAATAAATCATGAATGAAGCCAAGTTAAAAATGATTGAATAATAGATTGGACTTAAAGAAACACCAAGTCTTATGAAATAAATGTTTATGTTCCTATAAGTTCACCTTCTGTTTCTCCATTTGTATTTTTTACATTCATAGATCAGAAGATAAAATCTAAAAATGAACAGTTCCATAGGAAACAATGAAGGGACTGAGACAGAAAAAATGATAAATGAGACAGAAAAAATGATAAATGAAAGCTAAAATTTAAACATAATATAAATAGCTAGAGAGTAGACAAATAATCTAATATAGAATAAAATTATATACATGACAAAAAAACAAATAGCGATTGATGTTTGTAAAAAACAATATACAGAAAAATATAATGTTGGCAATATTATTTTCAGCATAATATATTAGTTCAAATGCGTGTTCCACATACAAATTATCGACATTTAATCAAGAAGAAAGCGATTACTGTTCAAGGTAAAATTTTTAAAACAAAATCAATATTTGCATTGTACATAAAAAGGTGTTTTAAATTTGATACTAGGCCTATGTTCTCGCTTACCATGTTTGTATATCGCTACCAATACCAATGATCATCTACATGCTTCTAATTCGATACCTTGGACATCACATTCAATACTAATGCTCATTGGTCCCACCTGTTTGACCTAATTCCTGATTGGTCGAACTGGTATACATAGGTAGGCTGTTCTGATTGGTCAAGTGAAACTTTATGCTTCAGCAAACTCATTGGTCAACATGCATGATTTGCATATATTATGAATAACTACACCTACCAGCTAGTTACATTTTAGGAAGGAAAGCACATACATAATAATCATAAGGCCAGTCCAATTATCAAATTTTCCTTCTGAATCTTGTAATAAAATCTTATCAATTGAAGGTTAACAAAAATTTCTAGTAAAATTGGTTCCTCTTTCTCTTCTTCTTTCATAACGATAATGTGCAATAATATAGATCTTATTTTATCTATCAATCTATTTTTAAGCCTGAATTATGTTTACAGTGTTATCCTGCTGTCCTTGTAGATATAGATAAGTGAAATAGCAGGCAATACCAGGCATGGATGATAACATAACACGAAAGATAAGCAATTTAAAACCATGTTATGTTGCTGGTTGTAATAATCCTATAAAAATGTTGCTTAACAGTGGTTAGCAATTATTTGAAGAGTACCAGCTATTTTTAGTAGAATAATACTCATCATAAATGCATTTTTCTAAGGATCTCATGTGGTAAATTTTACTTTATAATTATTACTGCAGAAGTGGTTCAACATTTTTCATGTGAATATTCCAGTCAATAACTTTATCAACTTTATTATTATATATTCATTCTAATATATGTTCTGGTCTCCCACAAAATTCAGATTTACCACAATACAATGTCAAATAGCAAATGTAAAACAAGAAACAGGATAAAAGGTGACTGAAAGTCAATACATACAGGTACAGTAGCTCTTACACAATGTAAAGCTATTGTTTCAAGATATATAGTAAATAAACAAAAATATTGTTAAATTTTGTTAGTTTATTATTATAACACCTTTCTTCTCAGATACAAAGTGCTTCTGTTTCAGGTCAATGGATCTAAAGTTTAGACAAGCAGTAATGAATGTTCTGTTGCTGTCTCACCGTTGAAATAAAAATTAAGTGAAAATTGACTGTGATAAGCAGTTGTAACACCAGGATTTGCCAGACAGGGAGAGGCTAAGCTGTCCAACATTGACAAATATCTGGGGAGGCCTAGGGGAAACACAACCTGGCACCTAGAAAAAAAAATGGGCAATTTAAACCTGCTATGAGATGTTGATAGGATATAAAGATAGTTACTGTACTCTCCAATTCAATGTATTCAATTTTGTGGGTATGTGTCTGTGGGTATGTTTTAGGGTGTCTACAAGAGGATATACTGTATCTGTAGCAAGTGTCTGGGTAAATGTAAGGGTAATTGTATGGCTACAGTTGATAGGATATACAGTAAGCTATTACTTTCTACCTGAAGTTTTCAAACAGGATATAACTCCACAGACTTACTCCCTTATGTGTATCAATATAGTAAACAGTTTGATAGATTTATGGCATCAGCAAACTACTATATCATAACATACGAAGAAAAATAACAAGACTTCTTGTAGTTTCAACAGCACATGCCCTGTCAAAATATCAAGGCATATAAGCAAACAACAGCATATAGGGGATCATGATGGGATTAAGGTATTTTGTTATGTTGTCATGCGATCAAGCGAGATGTCATGGGATTAACAGATGCCACCAAGAAATAATGGGATTAACTGGACTGCAAATGTATGGTGTTCTGAGATATAACATTCACATAGGATTTAAGTATGTTGTTATATTATCAAGTATGTTGTTATGGGATTAGGACCTATCACCAAAATAATATAGTATAATGTATCTTGTCATGAAAAGTTATGTTCTCATAGGATTAATATATTTCATGACATTAATGTCATCATAGATTATTGTGGAAGTTATTTATCAGATGCCAAAATCTCAGAAGTCACCTTTTATCATTCTCTTGATGACAATCAGAGCAATCTCACCGAAGCACTGAGCAACCAACCAGTGTTTTTACCTCAAAAACTACGTTTTTACACATAGTGTACCAAAAATTTAATGATTTTGATATGACGAAATCATTAAATTTTTGGTTTATCACATTTTTTAGCACAATACCAAGGATGTGCCAATTGATAATGATAAAGAAATTATGAGTGGAGTTGTTGGTCATGAGGAAAAAAATGGAATGACAACAACTGAATCCTGAGATTGAAAGGCAAGCATTAACAAGCTACATCTCCACTCACACTATAGAAGCAATATTGTGAAAAGATTTGAAGAAGATAAATTCTATTTTTGGTCGTCGCGCATTAAAAAAACAACAATGAGGTAATAATGTGAAGCAATATCAATTCAAATATTAATCTACTGAATGTAACGCATGGCGTACTGCTATTGAATTCGAGGTCATTGAACCAACGACTCTGAGCATGCGCTAAGTTCGCTCTAAGTAACAATGAATGACATTAATCATATGAACAAT